GAAAGAAAGAAAGAAAGAAAGAAAGAAAGAAAGAAAGAAAGAAAGAAAGAAAGAAAGAAAGAAAGAAAAGAAAAGAAAAGAAAAGAAAAGAAAAGAAAAGAAAAGAAAAGAAAAGAAAAGAAAAGAAAAGAAAAAAAGAAAGAAACAGATTCAGAGAAGTCAAGCTACTTTCTCAAAGCCACACAGCCTTCTGTGGCTGAGCTGAGATCCACACCTTGGAACAGGAAGTGCCCCCTCTCACAGCAGGCATAGCTAACACTAAGCTCTCAAGTATTTAGAGAGAAGGAACTGACCCCAAATTGACCCGTCTCAAACCAAAACAGAAAACATCATTCTTTCATTCCACAAATATTTAGCAAGGTTCTAACGTGAGCCAGGCTGAAGGCAGAGGGGGGAGGGCAGAGGTCAGTAATTGCTTGGAATTTAGACCTGTATCTGCATCTTTGTAGCTGTGGTGCCTCAGCCACAGGCCAGGCGTGGCCTCTGGCCGTGTTCCTATCCCCAGAGCGGGAGGGGGTGGGGGGAAGCACACATTCGGCTGTCACTTCTTTGGACGCCAGTTTTCATGACTCTGCCTCCTTCCACCCAGCAGGCCCCAGGGTGCACCTGATGCCCGTGTGAGAGAGTGGGTGTGTGGGGGTGTGGACAGGCTTGCGTATTTTTCCCTGACCTGGGTAAGCTTTGCCTCCAGTTGCCAAGGCAACTGCTAGTCTTGGGAGGTGGCCTGGGAGCCCCACCCAAACAGCGGGTCTCTTCAAGTAAACAGCCCGCGATGCCCTGTGGCCTGGCCTCTGGCCTCACAGGCGCCCCCAACAGACGAGGGACCTGCTTCCAGCTCCCTGCCAGCCTCTGTCCCCCGGTCTGTCCAAGATGAGAGCACAGAGGGAAACAGAGGCAGGTCCCCTGGGGACCCAGTGGCTCTGAGAAAGGAAGCGTGCCCCGGGGCGCAGGCTGAGGGCTGAGGCCAGCAAGTCTGCCTGGGGGCTCTCAGGCCAGCAAGGACAAAGGGCATCTC